CTCTCTCTCTCCCTCTCTCTCTCACAACCACACACACACACACACACACACACATACACACACATACACATACACACACACCTACATGAGAAATAAAAAAGAAAAAAAAAAACATAAAAAATACAAAATCAATCAATCAATCAATCAATCAATCAATCAATCAATCAATCAATCAATCAAGATCTTGATTGATTGATTGATTGATTGATTGATTGATTGATTGATGAAAACAGTGAATCAATCAATGATTGATTGATTGATTGATTGATTTATTGATTGATTGATTGATTGATGGATTGATTGTTGGTTTGATGGTTTGATTGATTGATGGTTTGGCCGATTTGCTTGCTTGCTTGATTGATTGTTTGATTGATTGATTGTTTTATTTTGTGTCGGTGCTGGCGTCATCCCCTACCGATCAGCGGCGCCGACGGTCCCCCACGGAACCTGCAGGACGAGGGTCAGACAGGAGTTTGACGGGTTTTCAACGGCTGTTCAACGGGGTCTCAACGGGGTTTCAACGGGGTTTCGACGGGGTTTCAATGGGGTTTCAACAGAAGTTGAACGGGGTTGATGGGTTTTCGCCGGGGGCGACGGGTGTGCGACGATTGCGGGGGGTCGCCGGCTGTTCGCAGGCTTGGCAGTGGGAGAAAAGAGGCGGGTGTTACAGTGTTGGGACTGGGCAGGCCGGGGATACTGGCTTCTCTGTGGCGCTGCTGGCCACGAGGTGTCGGAGGGGAGGCGCTTACGACTGGACGGGCGCGACTTTGAGGGGGGTTCACAATGCCGCGAAAACAGACGCGCGAACATGAGCCTGCGCCCGAACATGTGCAGCAGAATTCTAGGCGCAAATCTGCTGTGTACCGTTACATTATTGTCGGTCTGAAGGTCGACAACAGGGGGTTAATATGCTACGGTGCACCTTCTGCAATAAGGTGTTTCAGGGAACCCAATTCTACACAACAAAACACTTCACCCAGCAGTATTATTGTAAGAAGGTGTCCGATGATGCATTGTACCAGATTGCGCAGAAATGCACACACCGCTTCGAGGCCGATCAGGTACAGAGGGTGCGGCGGTTCGTACACGAGCGTGGTCTCGATGTCCCGCGGTCGGGTGCGATGGGTGGCAAGGCAGAGCGTCCTGCACAGGGTGTGGGCGAGGGAGAGGATACCGAGCATTATGCGGAGGGAGGTGTTGCGAGATATGGGGAGGGTGCGGGTGCCGCGGAGGAGGACGAGGCAGACGTTGACCTAGAGGTTGGCGTGGCTGAGGGGGAGCGGGGGGCGTGCCGAAGTCCGATTCGACGGCTCATCAGAGGGCGATGGACTGGGAGCGGAAGTGCGGGAAGAAGGTCGTCCCACCTTAGTTGACATGCACGCAGAGTTCTTCGAAGAGTGCTGTTCCTGATAGAGCAAGCACGCCGGGTTCTTCGAAGAGGAAGGAGGGGGGTGCACAGTTTTCTGGCACCAGTGCGGGGAAGAGGCTGCGGCAACAGAAAATGACGGACACGTATGGTGGCGAGTGGATTGGTGAGTGGAGGAAGGCATTCTTTCGCTGGGTGTATTCCAGCGGGATTGCCTTCAATGCCTTCTGCAACACGCCGTACCGGGACCTCCAGCAGGTTGCTCTTCGGCAACCTGGTGGAGCACCTCTTCCCGTGCTTCCATCCCACAGTGAGATCGCAGACATGCGAACTGTGGAGATCCACAGCGAGTAGTTGGCGGAGGAGTTGGAGAAGGTTAGGCAACCCTTATGGGTGAGTGGCGCCACCCTCCTCTCTGACGGGAGGAAGTCACGAGATGGGCGATCTATCGTGAACTTCCTCCCAGCTGGTTCTCGGGGGGTCGTCATGTACACGACGATCAACCAAGAGGGGGAGCCGGACAATGCGGTGCATGTCCTACAAAGATGGGTAACCATCTTTCATGTTTTCAGATTCGGTGGCCCACAACGGGTCAATGCTATATGCACTGACTCCGCCTCTATATACGTGGGGGCTGCGAAGGCTTTGGCCTTGCCATCTATGCCCCCTGAGCTGAGGAGGATCACTTGGCTCCCGTGTTGCGTCCATGTCTGCAACAAGTTGTTGTCAGACATTGGCACGATCTGCACCTCTTTCGTGGACACGATCACGCGTGCCCGAGTTCTGGTGGTGTTTTTCAAAACCCACCAGGCCGCTCTCAGCTTCTTTCGGAAGCGGAGTGCGGCGTTGGGCCTCATGCTTTTATGCGAGACGCGCTTTGCGTCCGTGTACTCCATGTTGGAGAGGCTGCTCGCTCTGCAGGATCGTTTGCAGGGCATGATGACAGCGGAGGACGGTCGGGCATGGGCTAGGATCCCGTGGTCCCCCGATGTTCGCGACATGGCATGTTGGGTGCGCCGACAGATCAGGTGGTCCCCTTGGTGGGAGAGGATGCGTGCCATCAAGCACGTCATGGATCCTGTCATGGACTTGCTGAGGCGGATGGACTGTGGCGGGCAGTTCATGTCCCTCATTGTAGAGTGGACTCGAGATCTTGCACGCCTTGTGCGGTACGCTTGCATTCCTCTTGGCCAGTCCTTTTCTGACCGTATCATGAGGCGTGTGCAGGCCCGTATACAGCACATGCTGGAGCCCGCACACTGCGCCGCGTTCTTACTGAACCCCCGTCGCCGGAATGTTCAGTACTTCTCCGCGCAGCTCGACCGGTACCACACTTGGCTTGTTCAACAAGCCAAGAGGTATCTGTTGTCTCAGACGGGCCACGACGAGTCGGGTGGTCGTTACCTTGAGGTATGTCGGCAGTTCGAGGACTTTCACATACAGCAGGGTAGGTATGGGTCTTGGGGCGGGGCAGAGGGCCGCGCTCGAGCGCGTAGTTGCAGTGGAGACTGCGAGACGTTGGAGTGTGCATCGTGATGGTCTTACTACGGGGGAGACGCGCCCGATTTACAGCATTGCGCTCTTCGTTTGATGCACATGTGGTCCTGCGCCTCTCCAGCGGAGAGGACATGGCCGGTCCACGAGGGCATCCATACGAAGAAGCGTAATCAGTTGGCCTTCGAGAAGGTCGTTCATCTTGTTGAGATCACCGCAAATGTGCGGTTGATGGAGTATAGACGTGCAGGTTGTGGATACGTCCTCCCTTGGCAGCGAGACGAGGGCATGCTTGACGCTCAGGCCGGATTGGACGTGGAGCCTGTGCGCTCGGGGACGAGGAGTGGGATGACGGAGGAGGAGATCGAGGAGCAGGCTGCCCTCATTGCGCGCGATCCCATTGGGTCTTCTGCGCCGCCCCTTGTTGAGTCTGTTTTCGGTGCTCGTGCGACTATCTTCCGCCCATACCCCAGGGACGATGACTCTGCGGACGAGAGGGAGTCGGAAGCAGCGGACGACCCGATGCTTCCCATCCCGCGTGATATTGATGAGTTGCACGAGGGGGGAGACGTGCGTGACAAGAGGACGCACACCGCGCGGAGGGCGGCAGACCAGCGAGACATGAATATGATGGGGGGCGAGGAGTTTTGGGGATCTTTCGGGGGCACGGAGGAGAGATCACCCACTGCCGCGCGGGAGGATACGCGTCCTTGCACGACCTTGCGGGAGGAGACGCCTCCTCCCATGACTGTGAGTGAGGAGCCGGGTCCTGCCATGACAGTGCGGGAGCGGACGACTGTTTCGTCGACCTCGCAGGACCAGACGCCTGCTCCCACAACCACGCGAGAGCAGACGAGTATTCCCGCTACGTAGTCCGGACCCTCGTCCCCGTCGCCTCTTTCGCGTCATTCTATCCCGGGATTCCCAGTATCCGCTCCGCCCGCTCCCGTTCGGCATGACGAGCGCTCACCTTCACCAGTTGGGAGGGAGGACTTGGGATCCTCGTTGCGCATCCACGGGCATGGATCATTGTTTAGCGTAGCCCGTCAGCTCGTTTTGGACCCGCGTGCATCGAGCGACTTGGGGGAGATGGGTGTTCATAGCGGGGCACCACCGGTGGAGGGGAGGGAGAGACGACCGGAGGAGCACGGAGCCGTCGGAGCGGGCGGAGTTGAGGGTATTCGGGGTATGGAGGAGAAGGTAGCTGGAGTAGTGGGGGGCGTGGTGGAGGTAGATGATGGTGCGCATGTCGAGAGAGAGGAGGCCATGGCGAGCGTTGATGATGGTGAGCAGGTTGAGGGAGTGGAGGGCGTGCTACCATCGGAGGTTGAGAGAGAGGACGATGTGGTGAGGACGCAGGAGGCGACGATGAGGGACGATGAGAGAGAGGAGGCTGTGGCAGGGGTAGACGAGAGCGTGGCAGGGGTAGATGATGGTGCTGCCCAGGTTGAGATGGAGGAGGATGTGGTGAGGGCAGATGCTGCTGCGTTGGTTGGGGGAGAGGAGGGTGTGGTAAGGGGGGACGTCGCCCATGGTACAGGAGAGGGAGGCGGCGACCTTGACCCGATCGTCCAGCGTTTCATCGATGACGAGATGGGTCCCGCACTAGCGGGTTTGACCCCGGGCACGAGGAGGGCATTGGGGGCGTCGCCATCAGGATAGAGGGGGGCGTCAGGGATGGGGATGGGGGATTTCATGGACATGTCTTTGGGGGATCTGCCCACCCCTGCTGACGCAGAGAGAGAGGATGTGGTGCGTGCCCTAGCGGCCGTTGGGTACTCCACACAGGAAATCGAGCAGGCATTTGCAGGATGCTCCGGGAGAGAGACAGACACGCTTCAGTAGGGGTGCGAGGAGGTAGTAGAGCAGCCATAGGAGGAGCGTGAGGATGCACCCCCTGCGGATATCCCCGAGGTATCAGTTCGTTGGTACCGTTCACGGGCTTGCGAATGACGACGACGATGAGGCCAGTTCGACTGTGTGTGCAGGGGTCAGGTCCTGGGGAGGAGGCGTTTGTTCATGTACCACCGGTCATAGTCAAGGATTTAGGATCTGAGGCAGTTCTTCATACACCGGTTACTGGGCGGCGAGCTCCTCAGGATACAAGTTGCCCATTGGATTTCGCGGCGCTCGCACGGGCTGCTGTGCGTGACGTGATGCGGCGGGAGGACACCAACCCTAGCAGACCACTTATGCCGCCTCCTCCTCCGAGATCACATCGCAGCGATTCCCCCTCGACACCAGTCGATCGGCCCCCCCGTTCACCATCCACGCCCACCAGACCCAGGGTTCGTGACACGACGGCCGTAGGGAGCCTCCCTCTTGACACGTCGCTATTCGGGAGGAAGGATATCGACCTGGACTCCATACGTCGGGTCACAGTGCACACTGCACGACAGCAGACAGGTTTGGGTGGGGCTGACACCGGGAGGGGTGCGCCAAGGGAGGTCATGGCGGCAGTATCTCAGCCGCGAGATGTTCCCAGGGTTGGACAGGCCGGGTGTACCTTGCAGGCCGCTTTGGCAGCAGCAGCACGTGCTGTACGTGAGCAGACATCGCGTAGGAGCGGAGTCGCTTGTACGAGTTTCATGCCTCAGATGATGCCTGCCACGGGGGATGCCGCATTGGAGGAGTCTTCTGGAGCCGAGGGGTTGGAGATGCCACGCGGTTCTCGTCGTGAGAAGACAGTCGCAAAGGTGACTCAGGTGAGTGCTAGGCTTGTTCGGGTGAGGACGGGGGCTGCCCATGTGACCGTGGTGGAGGACGATCCCGAGACGGAGCCTGCACGTGAGGAGGCCCCACAGGAGGGTGACGACTACAGAGACGACGAGGAGCGTGAGGAGGAGGGGAGCAACAGCGGGGATGATGACAGCTACCACGATGACGACGACGAGCCCTCCCCTCCACCGCGGCATGGTTCTCGTAGACGACGTTGCTCTCGTAGAGGACATGATGACGTAGACGACCCGTCCCCTTCAGGGCGGCGGGAGACGAGGAGTCGGGGAAGGCGAGGGTCATCCGTGGCGACAGCGCCGGGGCGAGGGAGTGTTTCATCGACACACAACACAAGTGGGGCGCGGCAGAGAGGCAGTGCTAAGGGGAAGGGAAGTTGACAGTATTGACAACTTCGTTCCCCTTCCAGTGCTTCCATGACGCCTTTATGTTGTTTGTGCTTAGTGTTCTGACGTTTTTGTATATTTTTTAGGATGATGTACATATAGTTAGGTTTTAGGAACTTCGGACCAGTTCATGGACTTCAGTATGCAAGCAGACTGGGTAGTGTCGTCGACAGTGTTTGTTTGTTTCGTTTTTCGGTTTATGTACGGCGTTTTCATATTGTTTTTTAGTTCTTGGGTTTTTATTAGAGTTTGGACTTCATTCTAACTTGTCGTTTTACGCAAATGTTTGTTAGGGTTTTATTTTCAGCTTTGTTAGCTAGCGGTGTAGGCTGCATCCCATCGGTGTACGGCCCTGTGCGACTCGGCACGAGTGTCGACGACACATTGTACCATGTAAGATGTATTTCATATTGGACTCCTATATGCGACTTCGCCGACACTTCGACATGACTTTTGTATGACATTTCATGGCTACTTTGTTTTCATTGTAGTTTCATGTTCTTCTATACGGTTATTCTTGTGCGTGTGTGTGTGTGTGTGTGTGTGTGTGTGTGTGTGTGTGTGTGTGTGTGTGTGTGTGTGTGTGTGTGTGTGTGTGTG